GGTTGATGTATGCCATTATGCTGCTGAGAGAGAGGCGGCACAGCTGGACGCTTTACCCTGGTTAAGAATTTCAATATCTCTGAGATTGAGAACACAGTACAGAATAAATAATAAGACAACACCAGTCTGCAGGTAATCTAAGGGAACTAGAGAAACACAAATAACAAAATATAATGCCACTGTTCTTAAGCGGGTAAAAGGATTAAATGCTGGCATGCCACAAGAATTAATAAATAAACAATAACATTTTTTCAAGTTAGGTAGAGAGTGCTTGAAAAGTTTGCTGGCTATGTCCCAAAATAAGATTTTTAATCTCCAACAAGATATACTAACACCGTCTTTGTTGATAGATTTTCGCATATATTGTCTCTGTAGACATCACGCAAATGTTGTGGCACATTAACTCGGACACTCCTCACCTGAATTTTTCATAAAGATCTGAACAACCAAGGAGACTCTTAGTTAACAAAGGTGATGAATACAGTTGTCATACAACTAATAATGCCCTTGGAAAGCTTATAAAGGTCACACTACCAGAAGCAAACATTGCTTTCTTTGCAGACTGTAGCATAATATATCTGAAACTGGTAAAAGTCATACACCAGACTACTCCAATTTCCCTCAGTAAGAATCTGAAACTTGAACTTGCTTTAAACTGCGCTATGCTACAAAATATGATATTGCTACTGCCAAAAGTTTGGAAAGACAGATAAGGGTGTTCATGTAGGAGAATGTTTTTGCAGTATCAAAAAGTCTAAACATTTTGTTGAATTCCATTCCAGCAAATAATAATAATAATAATTAAATAAATAAATAAACTATCAAGCCTTTTTAAAAAATAAACCATTTTATCATTTGAGCAGATAAAGAAGGACATGGGAGTTAGTACAGACTACATAAGTGTCTAGCTGGCAGAGGTAAATATAAAGACAACTCAGAGAACAGAGTGCAAGTATGTGAAGCAGAAGCATGTTACCTTTTCAAATACACAAAAAGTGTCTGCTTACATGATGAGACACTTTAATTTAAAAAAAAAAGTTTCATTCCTGAAGGACCAGGCTCCATGACATATTAAAGACTTCACATTACCAAACTTTAGAAAAGCTCCTAAAAGTAGAATGGGAGGCAGAGCCTTCACTTGCCACGCTCCTTTCCTGTGGAACGAGCTATCTGTCTATGATCAGGAGACAGACGTTACCTACTTTTAGTTTTTGTTTTAAAGCTTATAGGTAGGGCTAGATTAAGTGAGTCTGAACCATGCCTTAGTTAGGCTTCTATACAGTCAGGCTGCTGGGAGATTTCCCACGATGCACTGCATGTCTTTTATTCTCCACTCCCACTACAGCATTCTCTCATAAACTATGAGAGTGTTTTATACATTGTGTCTTTCCATTCACTTCCTCCTTCTGCTTGATGTTTCTTCCTGTTAAAAAGAGCATCTTCCTCTCCACCATCACTTCCTGATTTCCTATTTTTTGTATGTTTGTCACACAAAAATGTTTCAAATTATCCAAAATATTTAAATATTAGACAAAGACAACACAAGTACCGTAATTAAAATATTCAATTTCTGAATGACAGTATTAAGGGAGAAAACATCTAAACCTACATGCCCCCCAAATCTAGTAACTGGTTGGGCCAACTTAGCAGCAACAACTCATTTAAAAAAAAAAACAACAACAACTGTGAAAGAGTCTTTTTCAGCACTGAGAAGGAATTTTGGCCCACTTATCTCTGCAGAATTGTTGTAATTCAGCCATGATGGAGGGTTTTCAAGCATGAACCGCCTTTTTAAGGTCATGCCACAGTATCTCAGTTGCATTCAGGTCAGGACTTTGACTTTAATTTCTCTTTGCTATTTGGGCTGATTGGGACCTGATGAATATAAAAACAAAGAGTTACGCAATTTTATTTTTTTTTTACCTGATTTTTGTTTCTGAGAAAAATAAGATCCACATATGAGGACATTCGCTTTAAATTTCGATAGGACATTGGCAGTATAATGTCCTTGTAAGTGGATATCAGGCCCTTGTAGAGCAAAATTTAGTATTTTGTTCTAGACAACCCAAAATGTGATGTCCACCTATGTGGACACCAGGTCATAGGAGGCTAATGATAAACACCGCGATTTAGAAACTGCATTTTGTGTTTACTTGTGCTATCTTTGTCCAATATTTAAATTCTATGATTTGAAACATTTAATTGTGACAAACATACAAAAAAATAGGAAAGGGGCAAACACTTCTGTCACAACTGCTGTTGTGATATATATAAATTGCACATTTTCAACCTTCTTCTTAACAGAATATGAAAAACAGCTTCTAGAAAAATATCTGTGTTGTTCAGCAGGAAATGCACAATGAGTGTCTGCTTTGATATATCTGCTTTTGTTTCTCTGAACAACACAAATTCGCTTTTACTGGGTTGTATTCATGTTGTTTCACAAAGTTTTTACGTTTCTCTAAATACCCAGGTACAGGGAAAGGTTGCAAGCAAAGTATCTTAAAGCCCCGGATAACAAGCTGTCATCTATCAGGTGTTGGCGTTTCACAAACACCAGTCTCTGCTCATCAGTGACACCTGGGGTCTACACAGGAGTCTCACCTCTTATTTTCCCGGGGACTCAAGAGCACAACTCCAGTCAAACGCCTAGAAAGAGCATCTCTAAAGAGCATGCCTGCTTCTCAAAGCAGATGATCCAGAAGCAGATTCGCAGTACGTATGTCGCTTCTGTAGAGGAAAAACTCAAGCAGCACCCTCTGGCTATGTACCCTCACTATAAGGATCACCTGACTCCTGAAGTAAGCTCCTCTATGCCAGAATGACATAGCTTCAGGTTAGGCAGATAAATGATGCCTGAATGAAGGCAAATACCTTCACACTGTGTTAAAACATATTTACATGGTCTTATTGTTCTCTAGTTATTTAATCGGGTGGTGGCTGTTTTGGACCCAGATTTGAGTGTGAGCAATGCCTCTGCACTTCCTGCACCTTCAGAAGACCTCGCAGAGGAGGAGGTCAAAACAGGAAACAGCCAAACTTAAAATGTAGGTACACACGCAGCTTAGAAATACCTGGCTATTTTAGTAATGCCCAACATGACTTCTCTGCTTAAATGCAGAGAAGTCACGATGTCCAAAATCCAACTCCAAGAAACCCTTCTATATAATAAAAAAACACATATAAAGGGTATCAAGAGAGACCAGTTGGTCTCAGTAAAACAACTGAACACAATTAAGGACATCAAAGTATAGTTTTCAGGAGATAGTCTGCCTTCCTGGTAACAGGTTTGTTATCTCAAACTGAAAAGTTTGAGATAACAAACTAACAAGAGAGCACATTACTGTTTCGCAGAAGTTACAAAATAACTAATATATTCTTATAATGACATGATACTTATGTTTGACTTTTGCAGGATGAATGCTTCTGATGGTGCTCCTCCTTCAAGTCTGTTTGCCACCAATTGTGCCCATTCAAGCACACAGCAACTTCTCAGGTTTTTGCACAAAATCCCAACCAGGAAGGCTATTCATATTTCCAAAGCAAGAACAAAATTCAGTACAGATCACAAATATAAGTGAAATATAAATTTTGATATCTTTTACTTGGGGAGGAAAAAAAACAGTTACGTGCAAAAATAAACAAATTCAAGAGTCTGGCAACAGGTCCAAGTAGCTGAACTAAAATGTAAACAAGGGATAGAATGGGGACTTGGATCTGGCACAAATCTCAAGAAAACCCATCGTCCTTTCCCGTCTAACGTAACAAACAGCTGGTTTCATGGCAAGTAACACAAACCATCAAGAGTGAAGAGGATACAAAATATTTGGATTTAAAGACCTCTGTGTGGTAGGTCCACATCGTTTGTATATGGAAAAAGCTCAAGAGGATACAAAGGACAAGGGTGTTTAGTATGACTTTATTTCTAAAGAATCTCCTTTTTTTGAAGAGTAAGATAAAGATCAATAACAAGAGGTGTGTATATTTGTTATCATATAAAGGAAATATGGATAATTAAGTAGTGCTTATAAACAAAGGATGGCAGAAGATTTCCAGAGTCCCTAAAAGCAGCCGGAACTGTACTAGATGTACTGTATGGGCAGCATGTGTCCCAACTACTTGAATCACAGCTTTTATTATAAATTTATTATAAATCTATGCTATGAATAAAATAATTATTAACAGACTTCACATTTTTCAAGCACTTTATTTAAACATGATAATACAGCTGATTGTTTTTTCAAATCAATCAAATCACTTTTATTGTCACATCACATGTGGAGGTACACTGGTACAGTACATGTGAGTGAAATTCTTGTTTTTTCAAAACTTTCTGCTGTCAGAGTTCATTCTTGTGACCTTTGAAAAATGAGGCATCTGTAAGACAAAAAAGAAAAAAACATAAAGGTATGATATTTGACAGATCATGATCAATCAGAAACACAATGGAATGTTAAGCATGAGATGCTGTGAGATGCTAAACGACAAGTGTAATAGCCTTTAACGCAGAACTGGATTTCAGCTGCTGTCACACCTAAAAGTCTTTTCATCTGTTACTGACTTACCTTTAACTACATGACTCTTCTTGTTGATGTTATTCAGCCTTTCCTACACATTCAAAGACTCTGAAATGGTTGCCTTGATCTCTCCAGTAAAAGAATAAACTATAAATGACTCAATCTGTACAAACAGTTGACTCATGTCATGATATCGATGTAGAGTGAACAATGCTTGTAACATGTTTTTTAAAACAATGTAACTGTAACTATCATCAACAGCAGGAAACAGTTTTCAAAGTAAAAGTGTTCAAATCAGTTTGGTTTGTTCCTGACTACTGTCTGAATGACCTCAGTTTTGCTCAGTTGTGATCATTAAGAACTTTAAGAACTTACTGATAAAAGAAGAGGGGTTCAGAAGCATTTTGGCGTGTCTCTGTTAGTTGTTGGGGTCAGAGGTCAGGAGAGAGTGGACTGGTGACCTGCGACCCAGTGAGAGTAGCGGTGGTGAGGAAGTATCCCTCACTGCAGTCTCTGGTATTAATATAAAATTGCCTAAAAAGCAGAGTGTCTGTTACAGATTTAAACCAAATCTTATTTTATTAAACTGCTCTATCTTGCATTATCTAGAGTTATCTATTAAACTATCTATTAAATATTTTCTTGATGATTTTCTTGTTCAGTAACTTAAAAAAACCTGCGTATTTAACCAAACAACAACCAAGACCAATTAATAGTGACAAGAAACTGTTGCAGGTCTAAAATTAAATTAAAATAAAAGAAATTAATGCTTAGTAATAAGAAATTAGATATATTAAATAAAAACTGCTTATGAAACTCACTCTGACTGAAGGACTTGATTATTTTCTCATCTGGTTCAGCTGTCTTCAGGAAACATAGCTCGCTGTACACAGTGTGTGTGCAAACAGAGATTCATTACATTGCTTTACAGGCCTGTAGCACACTGCAGGACCTTTCATGAGAGGTAACAGGTCACTTGGCTATATGGTGGGATCATCTCACAGCCTTAGGGCAAGTCACACTCACAAAGTCATGCAAAATATTTAGAAAAACAAAAACAAGGGACACTTTCCCTACCTGCTGAAGGTATTTCTCCTCAGTTTGTAGCCAGTATCGCAATGATCAGTTCTGCATCACAGACAAAAGAAATATTACAATATGGGTAAAGTGAGATATAACAAGAGCGTATGAGAGTACAGCAGAAATTTGGGTACATACAAGCATTTGAATGATAAAAGGCAAATTTTTACATTTTATATTACAACATAGACTTTGAAACTGTGTGGTCAGTGAAAGCACTCACCACGTAGGGCTCATCTATGATTTCTTGCTCACTTAGAAATATCACATGATTTCCATATGTGACCTAAGTCGGCCTAAGAATAAAGCTAATGCTTGGGGTGTGTGGGAACTGAGCCAGACGTACAATGCGGTTCTGTGTACTCTCTCTGGTGCAGACCTCCTCCTGTGGAAGCTGCTGCCAGTGGTGCTGTTATCGGTGTGTGGTCCAGGGTTCTCCAAAATCCCTCCTCTCAGGATTTTGTCAAGAGATCTGAGCTCACAAGTGGGGCTCTCCAGCTGCCTCCTTGACTTCAGCAGCCAAAAAGATGTGCATGACAATGTAAATGAAGTGATATTTGGTAAAATATTTATTAAAATGTTCATTTTTAACAGTGAAATCAAAATATATGGGACAGTCTTCTTTTATCTGAATTAAATCAATAAAAACACATAAAACTGTCTCCGCAGTCCAACACAAATAGCATTTCGACCCTGTGTTGAAATTATTTACAGTCTGTTTTCTTTCCCAGCTCCAGGAATGCAATTCAAAGGCTGAGCAGATGTCTCGTGTCTGTACAGCCAAATAAAATGATTCACACAAGCACTTGACAGACTGAAAGCAGGAGGGATAGGCGAGATATAGGGAGTTTCTCACTGTACCTTGATCTTGGCGTTGAAGGCATGCTGGGAGGAAGGTGGAGCAGTGTGTGCAGATGGGATCAGGGAGTCCAGATCAGGTGGACACACTTTCAGAGCTGTGTGCAGATTTTGACCTTGGAGCTCCTACAGAAAACAAATGTGGTCATGTCTCCCACTGAAAGATGTGCAATATTTAAAAATTATAGCCTAGCCTAACACACAGCTGAGAACCTTAGCATTGAGCACTTATTGTGTTTTTTTCTATACACAGACATAGAATACAGCATATTCTTGCTTATAAAAAAGCTCTGTCCTACTAATTATGTAGAACAGCTTTACCTTCAAGTGGAGGGCATGGTGGAGTTTTAAGCGGAAATATTCCTGCTCCCGCAGCTGGATAAAATCCTGACAGTTTGCAAAGCTCTCCGACATCTTTTGAAATACAAAAAGAAACTGCGGTCACACTGGGACACAAACAGAGATACAAGAGGACTGACAAAGTTCCTTTTTATACTTGTCTCTATAAAATTTTGAACTTTTAATTCAAAAGGAACACAATTATTCTTTGGGAAACAGGAAAGTATGATGCTACCAATTGTAGAATCTTTTAATTAATTTTTATTTAAAAAGGATAATGAACATTAACAGAAGCATGTGGGCCCATCATGTAAATGGGGAAGATTATGTACTGCTTCCATAAGAGTCAGCCAGGTGCTACTAATCAAAATGCACTGGATTTTCTAATCATCAGACTTGAACACCTGTATAAAACCAGAATTTTGGCAGCTTGGTCTGGTGCATTCAGCTGTTTAATTAACACAATGCCAAAATCGCCCCATGAATGGATACCCCAGCAACATCAGACTGCGCATTGCTCAGAGAAATAGGAAAAAACCCAAAAGCTACCTCTCCAACTCTACAGGCCAGTTAGCATGTTAAATGTTCAGGTGCATGACTATAGAAGAAAGCTGAACAAGTATGGCTTGCTTGGAAGGGTTTCCAGGAGAAAGCTTCCTCTCTCTCTAAAAAGAACAGGCTACACAGCTTAAGTGAAATCTGAACAAACCACAGGACCTCTAGAACGATGTTCTTCAAAGTCAAAGTGGAAACATTTGGCCATAATGCACAGCCACAAAACCAAACAGAGCATTATCAGCTTAAATACTTCATGCCAAGTCAAAGGGATGAAATGGGCTTGTTTTGCAGCCATGGGACCTGTAGTCATTAAGTCGACCATGAACTCCTCCGTATGTTAAAGTATTCTAAAATCAAATATGTGGTCATATATGTGTCAGCTGACGCTTGGCCGTAACTGTGTCACGGAACAGGACAATGATCACAAGCACAGCAGCAAATCTACATCAGAATGGCCGAAAAGAAAAGAATCAAGGTGTTACAATGGTCCAGTAAAGTTCAGGCCATAATTAGAAGAGTAAAGAGCATTTTATGATTTTATTAAACAGTGTCAGCAAAGGAAAAAAAAGCAAACAGGGGAAACTGTTAAAAAAGAAAACAGTTACCCCCTGAGGAGAAAGTGTATTTTAAAACATTTATTCTTCACCGCACACTGCTTACACTCAAACCTCTGCATGTTTCAGGCAGTCACCAACATATTCACGCTTCTAAAAATTGCAGGTGTCAAAAATTGTGTCATGACTAAAATGAAGTGTAAATGAATGCCACCTTGTGAAGGATTGCCTCCAGCTCACTGATCCTATCTGTTAACTGCTGATCTTTGGAGCGAAGCACCTCCAGCTCGTTAGCAAGTTGTCTCTTCTCCTCCCTGACGAAGGTTAGTTCCTGGAGCTGACGCTCGGTCTCCAAGTTCTGGCAGTCTTTCTCCTGGACAAGAAGAGAACATGGAGTAAATGCCTATCTCACTTCAGATGAATGTGAAGAACTGGAAAAAGTATGAAAAATTAACTGCCAAAAAAGCAACAAAAAAAAAACAAAAAACAGTTGTATAGTGTTGCATATTTGAAGACTACTGATTAAGACATTTTGACTGCTATGTCATCAAGAGCTAACTTGTCAAAAGTTAACATGGTAAAAGCTCACGTGATGCAGCTTCTCCACTTTCTCCTCCAGATGTAAAATTTTGCTCTGCATCGAGTCCACCTGCTCTCTCCTGCCAGTGATCTCCTTCTGCATGTCCAAGGCTACCTGGAGGCCTGAAGTGGAGTCAAACCCATGGGACAGAAAGATGGCAACATAAATAATCACAGAGCTCTTCTTTAGGGTGGATTACAGGGTAGGGAATTACAGATTACATCTCTCAGACTGAAATGAAGCACAGGAGGTCAGAAAGTGAATTGAATACATTTCACTAATATTAAATTTTTTGTTCTCTGAAATGCAAAATGTCTCTGTGATACTAAAGGTCGCTAACGTGAAAGTACTTCACTGTAATCTGTGCACCTGACCAAATATATATGAAAATCACAAGCAGTTCCTCAGAGTTTTATTTGTTCATGAAGACTTTTAATTAAGTTGCATTTTAAATTATAAACATTGATCAAACCATGTCTGTCAGCCCCTTTGAGGGTCCCCAAGGTGCTCTGGATCTGATCTAGCTCATCGTGGGCGTTCCTTATCTGACTCTGAAGATTCAGCACCACACCCTCATGCTCCTCGTTCTTACAGCTGTGCAGCCCTTGCAGCTCCTTGTGCTCCTCTGAAATCGTGCCCGGACAAACACGTGTTACGTCCAGAGAGAGAAATAGACGGTAACACATAAGCAAACACACACCACAACAGAAGGGCTTGGTTAACAGTATAAACATACCAAACATAATTCTTTGCTTTCTTAACACAGCAGGACAAGAAGATAATTTGATTAGACTAAAAGCCAGGAGAGCTAAAGTTTTTCGAGAAACGCCTCCATGGTCTACACAGTAATTCCTGGTAAATGGAAGGCTTGACTTCAGCAGTTTATTGATTAGAGGTATCAGACGACCCAAAGATGGATGCTTAGCTTATGTTATACAGCGTTTACACAGTGTTCCTACACTTAACAAAACGTTTTGCATTCTCCTGTCGTTGTTGTCCATTTGATAAGAAATAATGTGTTTTAAAATTGAGAAAATTAAGCTGTCTTCAGTGAGGGTCGTTGATATGTGCAGGAAAACCCTGAATACAGTAAAAATGTACTTTGCCAGCTTACTATTCTAGGCAGCACATTTCAGACATGTCTATATTAACCTGGACACTGATACTTAGGTTAGTACTGTAATGAGGGCAAGGGAACAAGGTCACCCTGGTAAAAGAGATTTAATTTCAACAGGAATTCCTCTTAAAATGAAAGATAAAAACAAACAAACACATAAATAACTATCCATGTCTCCACTCAGTAACAGAACAGAGTCAGGGTCTATCATTCAAGGTAATCAAGCACAAAACTTCAAACACTTCTCTGTGCTTACTATGAAGGTATTTTTGAGTGTTATCTAAATTAAATTCAATTTCATTGGCTAACACCTGAATGTAACTGTAATAACTTTAATCTATTTGCTGGCTTTTCCCAAAGAGAAGTTTTTAAACAGCTTTTTTTCTCCCTGGAAATCAGACTCTTACCAAGATTACAATGCTTTTGCTAAATTCTCCTCAAAGTCTGAGTGTCTGAGTGGAATGCCTCTCTTACAAAACCTAAAGCCTTTTTTAAGATATTCTATTGCATAGTGTGAGACAAACTGCATGTCACAGACAGTAAGGGTGTAAACAATTCTCCTAAACCACAATTTGGTTAATTACACAGTTTTCTTCAAAGGGAATGAATAACAAGAGAAAAGGCAGATTTGTGTTAACCACGGATCACTTAAACATTACTGTCAACAGAATCATCATTAATCAGCTGAACAGCATCTTTAAACTTTCATCAGACTACGCTTTAACCAGTCACCTTATTTCA